TGTTTCAGAAATGCTGGAGACAATGCACGAGAATGATCTATTTGATATGTTTCCAGAATTTTCTAATGTGGTACATATCCTTGCAGTGATACCTGCTACATCGTGCTCTGCAGAACGATCATTCAGTGCATTGCGCAGATTAAAAACTTACCTCCGCAGCACCATGGGGCAAAAACGTGTCAGTAACATCGCACTTATTAACATTGAAAGGGCATATGTCAACTCTGTAGTCAACAATGTCGAAATGGCAGACAGCTATTTCTTTTAACGTGTTTTATGAGCTCATATGATAGAATCATATGTAAGAATATTTTCACTTCATATGTAGGTCTATTTTAGTGCACCGTTAGTGACCCTTGTTTCTTTTCGACTCAGTTTCGTAAATAGTTGGCAAAAAGCTGCCCCAGCCACTACTTGTAAAACGTTTATTGTTATAGAGCTGTAACTTAATTGAATCTAACCCGCGCTCCATGACGTGAATTGTTATAGAACTGTAACTTAATTGAAGTTAACGCGCGTTTTCATTGGTTGATCTATGGTCACGTGGCCATGGCAACATTTAAATGCAGCACGGCGGGAAACAATTAATTATATTGTTGCCGGCTCTCTCGCTGACCAGAGGTTACTTTATTTGATACTTGCTTTTCATTTCTTTTTATGTTCTAAAATCAAAACTTCAAAAATAAAAGGCTGACCCAAACATAAGTAACAAACGTTCAACGTGTCGTAGCGTTACATTACATAACATATCTTTTGTAACCCTCCTTGTAGTTAGTTTTCTTCTCTGCCGTTGCATTTGAATGTGGACCCCAGATATTTTCAGACGTTCTTGATCTTTGTTCTTTGGGTACTTATTATTTGAACTAAACTTCAGCAATAGAGCGGTTGTCAATTGATTGTAGTAAAACCAGAACCAAACTAATTACTCTAACAATGCAATCACAAAGGGCACAGAAGAGCAGAAGCTCTCATGAGCTTGTAATTCTATTTGTCGTCATAGTGTAGCAGCTGTTATTGTTCTGGGGATAGGGGCATTGTTTCTGTTGTTTGAGTATCAAGCGACTCATGTGAGACCTTGCGAGAGCGGCTACCAGACCCAAAGAACACAGACGATATAGTGAACCAATCAAAACTCGAACAAAATCCATATAGCTGCCGCGAAAAGCGGGAAACGTGTGCAAGCAAGTATATTGGTTTGGTTTTACTTTTGATTAAATGAAAAAAAATGGCGAGAGTTCTTTTAGCCAATCGCGTAGAGTACTAATGCAAAGACAATAACTTTTCGACATTCAAATAAATGCCGCTTTATAAAAAGTACAATGAAAACTAAATTTTCCCTGGAAACCTGTTATTAAGTGCGTATTATAAATGCCGAGATTTCGAGAAAGCTTTCGATCTTATCCATGCTATAGACATTTTAACATGAAGGCATGGTCGAAGGTCCGTGGGTCATTCGTCCATTCAATTTTCGTTTAAAATCAAAAATTGAAAATTGATGTCAATTTTTGATTTTAAAAGAAAATTGAATGGACGAATGACCCACGGACCGTCGAACAGTAGTGAAAACTAAATGGTTACAGAATATCTAATGTTGCTTAGCAGGAACTGGCTTTTATTACTCTTATTCGATATCACAACATAAGTCTAGTCTTTGTTTGCCACAACTGTCACAAAACCTTTCAAAGTGGAAGAGAATTGTTAATGTCTATCCTTCTTAACAAAAACCACTCCTTACTGAATTCAATTATTTCAACCTAAGCCAGGCCCAAATTGCCAAAACTTGGAGAATTACTCCTTCAGACTACGGCCTGTAGTGAGAGATTTATCACAAACTTTAGAGTCCTCTGATTAGCCGATGTTCAAGCTCAACTTCCAACATGAAAATAATGGCTATTCAGTAATGTCAACTTATAGGGTTACAGATGCTGACATGACTCAAGTGCTAGAAAAACGTATATCCACTTTTGGTTTCGATCTGGAGTTCTTTTCGATCTTAAATTTTCATAATAAAAATCAACCGCAAAAATAACGATATATTATTTAATTTGTAATCATACCGTTTGAATCGGTTTTATCATTACATCAAACTGGGTTGCATGAAGTGCTAAAAACGACGACTCTAATTTTTGTTTCCAAGTGATCATAGACATTCAAGAACTATTTCTTTTTTATTATTATTTTTTAACCAATATATCAATCACTCATACACTTCCCCAAGGCTTCTTGTTAAACACTTTCCTTAAGCTTTGTCACAGGATTTTTTAAACGCTACAGAGAGATGAAGTTAAAGACCGTTTTTATAATTGCACTGGCGCTGAGTTCAGTTGTAGTCATTGGCATGATTCTTTATACCAAAGAAACCGTACAAGACATGATCAGATTTAGAGAGAAGATTGACTTTTATTCATCACCTCAATATTTCGCCTACAACTCGAAGCCTCGCGCTTATACAGCACAAAGAAGTACAATTCGAAAGCCTTTCATTTATCTCACAGAAACCGAGCAATGCCTTCCTCACCGAAACTTGGCCTCTTCTTCTCAGATTGGCGATCCAGAGACCTGTAACTGTGATGTGATTGTGCTAAGTTTCCGAGCTAAGTGCCAAGAAAACAATCATTCACACATCAGTTATTTGTTTGATCCGAACACCCTCTTTGCATCAGGACGAAATGTGCTCTTTTTTGCCGCATTGGATAGACGACCAGGATATCATTATTACATATTTATAAACGACGACACCATTCTCAAGTACAACGAGTTTACACCCGCCAACATGACTAAGATGTCGCCGTTCCGAGCTGTGGAAAAGTGGCTGCTAGATTACGAGNTCCACCATAAAGCTGTTGAACATGTCCTTCCCTATCCAACGCAATACGAACGTGGCTGTATTTTTGCAAGTAACAGAGACACTATGATAGCTGTCGAAGTCAAGTTTGGCGGCCAAGCACTTCTGTTTTCTCCTGTCACAGCTGCCAATCCCAAACATCGAAAATATGATAGGTCTTCCAAAAATATGACGGCCATATCGCGGGAATTTATAGCGAGGATTAAGCAAGAGGCGCCACCAACGTTAAGAAATCACGCCATATTTGACATGTTACACGCAAGTCCAAAGCACTATCTTGACAAAGGGTCACCCTCGTTTTGTGTGAATATAACTCGGCATCAGCCTATTATTCCATACGGGCACTTGCTGGATGATGTTTGATCTATTCTTCTCTCAAGTTGAAACGTTTCCTTTTTGCTGGTACTAAAATATTCTTTAAGAGGATAATTGTAAAAATTTCTAAAATTCTGCTTTATTTTGTCACGTTTATTTCACGAGCGTCGATCAACAGGAGTGAATCTTAATGACTTTAGGTGCGTAAAATATAATAGAGGAATGTATCGATGGCACGTGCCTGAGGGAAAAGTTTAACAGGACTTGACGTTTTCCGCAAAAACTTAAACTTCACTTAATTTAGAGTGTTTTGACTAAAATTGAAAAAGACTAGTTACAGAGCGAAAACTAGTATTTAATTTATTACTGTATGAATGTTTGGATATCCGGCGTTAAGAAATAGAAGGCAATGCAAACAAACAGAAAATAAGTAAAAAGGAAAACTACTGTGTGAAAATGACATAAGGTAGGTAGGATTTTTCAATAGTCACTTATCGCACAGTCATAATTTTGTTTTTTCTCGTTCGACGAGTCGAAAATACAGCTTATCACTGGTGTATAAATTATTCTTGTCGACAATAATTTAAATATGCTAAGATTATAATAATGCCCCTTAAATACATAATTAACCAATGGCTCTGAATCATAGCTACAGAATTTTTCAAAACTTTGCAAAAAGCTGTATCTTAACATGCTTGTCGTAATTAGATTATAAAAAAATGAGTTTCACCGAGCCGTTTTTGAGTTATATGCACTTAAAGCTGGAATTAAGGGTGTTTTAACAGGCTGTATCGTTACCGTGGTGACCTATTGCTCCATGAATGAAGGTGACTAAAACTTGTTCAACAATTGCAGCATGGTTTGATAAAGAGTGGTAGTATTTATCCGCCTAAGTAAATATATAACTGTTGGAAAGTGCAACAGAAAAAAAAACAAAATAAAATAAAATTTAAAAATAAACAGCTGACCCTCCAAAAACACTTTTAACGTAAAATTGGAACGTTCAATGCCTCGTACCGTTTGAAATTTTCAATAAAAAAAAATCATATTGTTTTCAGTTTTTAGGCAGGCATTGTGAATGAGAATTAAACATTCGTTTTCCATGCTTGAAGTTCTCTGTCCTTACTTTGTGATTCCACATATAGACACACAGTGCATAGCATATATATTTGGGG